TGGGTGCGTGAGAAAACGAGGCAAAAAAAAAAAAAAAAACACAACATCCCTTTTCTCACCCCCCACACTACCCCAGGCCAGAGCCCAAGGTTCAAGTGCCTCAGGCCCAGCCCCCTTAACTTCCAGGTTGGGAGTTGCATTTTATACCACAGGTTTTATAGCATTTTTATATCACTGAAGATTTGTCAAGAGTTGGGCAGAACCCTGGAGATCACTAGTACCACCCTCCCCTTTCAGAGGAAGGAGAATTCCAAAGCCAGACACTGAAACTGCTACACAGCCAGGTAGGAATAGCACAAGAGCTAGAATAAAAATCTTTTAACTCCCGGCTCAGTGTTCGTTGCAATATGCCACACTGCCTCCCATCTCTGGTGTTACTAAAATTTCCTCACCTGTTACGCCCGCCAAGGAGTGGCATGTGTTGGGCACCGCAGGCCATCACAGCGCGCATATGCCTCCTGAGGGTGGCAAAGGACTGCTGAGCCCCTCTCCCCACTGTGGACCTCAGCCGAGATGGGCCAGCACCGCCGTAGGACAAGCCTCTGGCCTTGTGTTCTTTGCTAAGGGCCCATCAGGAACTGGCTGAAAGTGAATTCCCTGTGAGCCTGGAGTTCCTGGGGTTTGGTGACAGTATTAGCAATTTAGAACAGAGACTAAAGATGGCGCCAGGCTGGGTATTGCCATTCTTTTACTTCATGCATGTTGCTTCTTTCAAACCTACAGTGAGTATTTTTGCACACTGTTCAAAAACAGTAGGCAGAGCCCAGGGATGTAGCTCAGTGGCACAGGACCAACCTGGCAAGTGCAAGGCTGAGTTCGAATCCCGGTACCAAAACGAAAAACAGGAGGCAAACTGAGGAAACTGATTCTAGTGACCAAGCCCATTGCTGAAGGGAGCAGGCTGAGGATGTCTGGTCTTCAGAGACCAGAGTGGTTTTCAGGAAGTATTAGGAACTTTAGTAGAGGTCTCAGTTTGGACCCAGGAAGGCTTGGTGCAGCTGAGGCCATGGCTGTGACTGGGTACTGCAGCGATCCTTCATATGACTTCTGGCCTCAGGTTAGGGGCCAGGGGGTTAGTTGGTCCTCATCTCTAGGTGTGCCTCCTTCTCACGTCGGGATTTTGATATGAACAGGTGAAGTTTCACTTTTTTTGTTTTGTTAATGGTATGCTTGCTATTATGGCCAATATGTAAATGTTACTCTGAATACATATTTATATACCTACCATGTTACTTAGTGACATTATTTGAACATTTGTATGTGTATTTGTGAAGTTGTGTGCATCATTTAAAAATTTTTTTCAACCTAAATTTTCTAAGAGGTATGTTGAATAAATTTTTAAAATCCAGCTTGAGTCACAGCAGCCTTAGTTTCGGGGAAAAGCAGTAAGGAGTTCTTGAAGCAAAAATCTGCTATGTGGTGACTGGCTGTTTTAGTGCTTTGTGGCTGCTTGTGCTTCACAGGATGCTTCATGTTGCAAGCCAGGGACCCTCCCGCAAGCTGGTGTGAGGCTGAACTAGACCCTCTGGCCCCGCTCCATCCTTAGCTTTCTTCTGAGCTCGCCTCTTAGAGGTCATCTATTTTCTGTCAGAAACCAAACTGCACAGCTATGCTTTATACTATGGAATTCCTGTAATCTTGGGAATCCATATAAATTGCTTTTTAAAGCCCCCGAAGTGAAGTTAGGATGAGGACTGGAAGCCTTGTTCAAGTCTTAATTTACCCAAACTGTGTATAAAGAATAAAGTTAGGAGAATGACACCACAGTCATTGTGTTCTTTATTTTTATATTAACCACATCAATTTGCAGTTTTACAGGAACCAAGATTCAAGCTCCTTGGATGCTACTGTATTTTTATGTTGCACGCACAGACACGCACACACGATTTCATTAGTAATTTGTCTATAGGTTTTTCTTAAAAAAAAAAAAAAAGATTCCTGCGTGGAATAAAGTTCTCTCCACGTAACAGCAGCAACGAAACAGAAGAGCAGGGTGTGGCAGCTTCCAGTATTGAAGGAGGTCCTTTGGTGGGGACCAGCAGTGCACTGACTTCTGGGAGGGCAAAGGATGGCAATGCAGAGTGACCTTCCTACTAAGCAATTAAAAAATTCAAAAGAAAATGAAGCTGAGAAAATAGAGTAAGGCAAGGGTACCTTTTACTCACTTAAATTCCTAAGTAACTTTCCAAAAAGAGTGGAAGGAAAATTCTTTCCCACCGCTTTTCTATAGAGTTGCAATACACTTTGGGGCCATCAAGTATTGTAGCCCTCACTTAATATGTCCCGGCTCACAATCCCTTCTGAGCGGGCAGGACTATGAGCTACAACCTCAAGTTAAGAACTCTAACCTGAGAACTCCTGTGACTTCAACTACTTGAGCTGACTGGAGTCCATGAGGAAGGACAAAAAGAAACTTAGTCTCAGTCCCATTCCACATGGCTCATCAACATGAGTTGTTCTGTTGTCCTAAAATTGTACAAAGTCCATCAACACAATCTGGCCCTGCCCAGTCACCCCCACCTAAAAATGCTTGGAAAATACTCTCCAAAGGAGCACCTAGGGCCATGGCAGAGGTGCTGAGCCATTTTATGAAAATGGAAAGAACCCTCTCAATGACACCATCAGGTCGTCTCAAAGCAGTTAAGTGCCACATGAACCACAAATGCACATAATCTCCTCAAGCCAGTGGGCTTTTGGTCCTTAGGCTAAACTGATGAGAAATAAATGCTAAAGATGCAGCATGTGAGAAGTAAGTGGAAGGGAAAAGATAAAAAGGACTTTTGTGTTTAAGTTTACCTCTTAAGAATGTTTCCCCCCCACAGACTGAAATAAGATTACAATAACTGGGGAGCACACATGCAGATTATTTTTTTCTCTAACAAGTTTACAGCAGTGTACAGCAGTTACAGACATTTATTTCATAGTAAGAAAAGTATAACCATATTTATTAAACTCAAGGTGAGGTGGGCGGGAAGAGGGGGAAGCACATTCGAGAATATGTTCTCCAGTGAATGCTCAGAACTGGCATCCAAGGGAAAAGAATGACAGGGACACCTCCCAGCCAGCGGAGCCCTTCCGCTCTAGAGGTGAGCGGCCAGGCCGGTGCCTGGCCCTGCGGACTCCCTCCCTGCACCTATCCCAGTTTCTCCTTCCACCCTTACTTCTCAGACGGCATTCTGGGAATCGGGAATTACCACCGTCACCTATAAGTTACTCGGAGATGGAAGTTATCCTTATAAGAAGAGGAATATTAGGAGTACGATGAGGCAGGAAGATGGGAGGGCCCCCAAAAATCTAATGGAAGGAATTCCACTCCTGTCCTCACACAGTTTCTTCATAAGTTAATTATTTCTTAACTTAAAAGTAAGGGTGAAAGTTCAATGGGCACTGTGTAGATAAGTCCTTGAAAACTAGACAAAAGGACCCAAGAGATGTGTTCTATCATTCATTTTCTCACCTTTGATTTCTTCCCTTTCATTCTATGTAAAAGCTCCATCACCATTAAGGTATGACTTAGTCTACTAATTTCTTACTTTATTCTTTTGGGCTCTAAGGTATCAGCTCTTTTTCAATCCAACATTTCTTGTGCTTGATACTGAGGGTAAAGAGAAAGGAGGGAAGAAAACACCAAATTTAAAAAAAAAGCTTGGAATGCAGGCTCAAGCTGACATTGAGCATGTTCCTTCATGGTACAAGTAACAACGTTATAACTATTAAATGATGTTTTAGTAACTGTTGCATTTCTGGTTTCCGTGTGCTTATTCTGCCTTTTTTTTGGCAATTCCAGGGAGTTTTGCTTGGATCCTATGAGAAAAAAGAAAGAAGGTGAAAACATAAACATTTGTTCTAGGTTTTTATTCTCACAGTGATGCCAGAGGACAATCTGGACCTACTCGAGGAATGTGCAAAACATAGGGACTGGTGAAGTGAGGCTGGGGCTATGAGCTTTCTGGTATCTGCCTGGCATAAACCTGGGAGGTGCACAAAGATTCCTCTCTCTCCCCTAGCTACTTGTGCCTGCTCCTTGTTCAGTGCCAGGAACTCTGAGGGTCTTCAGAGGGGGCTCCAGAGAAGGATGGAGGGGCCCAGGCACGATGCCTGCTGACTGTGCGCCAGCAGTGTGAGAGCCTATTTCTCTGGCTCTGTGAGGCAGAAGAAGGGATAGGTCACTACCTACTAATGCCAAAAACGAACTAGAAATCAGGGTAGAGGAGGCATGAGGAATCAGGAGTCCTGGTTCTCAGGACTAAGGATCTGGTAACAATTCCCAGGCTCTGTCACTGGACAGCAAGGCTGTACCTGTATCTGGCAAAGAGGGCATCCAAACTCCACAAATGTAACGTCCCACAGCAGGCATCCTAAGTCAGACAACACTGGTGATCAAAGTATCAGGTCTAAAACTGAACTACAACCATCTTTCCCAAGTGAGTATGGATGGATAAATAGCAGCCAGATACATATTTGTGCTAACTTCCGCCTGGTTTTAGCACCAACATACCTTAAAAAGCAAAAAATCAGGTGAAGATTCTGTATCAAGCTAGACCTGCCTGGATAAATTCAGTTTCCTTTTCTTTTTCTTCTTCTTTTTTTTTTTTCCCTTTTTCAGTATTGTGCCGAGGACGGATGCCAGGACCTCACACATGCTAGGCAAGCACTCTACCACTGAACTACTCCCAGACTATTCAGTTTCTCCTTGACAAACGTGGAAAAAGTACTAGAATCTGGGGTGTGAAAGGGACTCAAGCAGTATAAAGGAGGCTTGACAGTTTGTGGTATTTTGTTTCTTAACGAACAGGTGAAGAAAACATGGAAAAATGTTAATATTTTAATTCAAAGTGTTCAATTTGAATTTTCAATTCACAGTGTTGAATAATTCAAAATAAAGACCCTCCTTAATACAGTGAGTCATAGAGATGCTTATTAATATTTTATTACTTGGTTTAACTATTCATTGGTTACAAAATGAAAATAGGATATGTAGTCTTAGAAAAGTTAGCTTTCAGTCTCTTATTTATTTACTGAGAGAGGGAAGAGTTGGGCTTTACAAGGGTATATATGTGAATAAATGAGAGGGTGAGATAAATAACTAAGAACATTTAAAAGTCAAAATTGTCCTAATTCCACTGGTTGATTTTAATCTAAGGTACAGAGGATGTTTTTTAATAAGCAGATAAAATAATTTTTAGTAAAATAAAAATATATTAACCTAGTTTTTGTGATGAAAATTACTATCTTTGGCAACAGTATTTTATACAGGGTACTAAAAATAATTAGGGGAGCTGGGCATGCTGACACAGCCCTATAATTCCAGTACTAAGTTTGAACCCAACCTGGACAACTAGACTAGGGAGACCCTATCTCAAAATGAAAAATAAAAAAAGGGCTGAGGACACACCTCAAGGGAGGATGTTGGGTTCAATACCGTGTAGCACACCCTGGCCCTAATCAAGGAAAATAAGCACCTATCATAGTGAAATATGGTTCCTGAACATACTTACTTTTCAACAATTGACTTGGTCTGATCCCGGGCAATGCCAACGTAGTGATCAATCTGGGTCTTTGATGGAAGGAAAGAAGACTCAGTTGTGGCAACACATAGATTAACAATTTTCCTGAGGGCATCTTTTTTTGTCTAGTGTAGCCACTGAAAAATATTCTCAAAAATAAAAATAATGCCTAGTTTTCAAAATATTTTTAAAACTTCTAGTTTCACATTTCAAATTATGCCTTAATTTGTTGAAGTGAAAATCACTCATCTTTCACAGGGAAACTTGGTAGGTTACAGTATTTCCTTTAGAGATACTGGAGTGTAAATTTTCTAAATACTAGAAATTGTGTATCTTCTTACTCACAAATGTATTATGGCTCCTGAGTAAGACTAATTTGTTTCAAATCAAAGCCAAATGTCCACTGATGAATGGCATAATCCAAAGAATGACTTCAAAACATCCACCATCTCTGTACACATCATTTCACAGTATAAACATCTGTTCTTACTAATTCCTGTAATAGCCTACAGTTTAAGTTTCTTTTTAGACACCCAGCTTTTATTCACTAAATGTTTTTAAAATTCATTTTCTTTTGTACTAATGCAATTGTGATAAGAACTCAAAAGGTACACAAGTACAAAAAATAAGTCTCTTTCCTACCCATATATCTTCTAGGTAGTTTTTCTTGCTAAAGGAGACCACTGTGACCTATTTTTTATTTTTTATTTTTATTTTTACTTTTTTTGGTACCAGGAATCGAACTCAGGACCTTGCGCTTGCCAGGCAGGCGCTTGTGCCGCTGAGCTATATTCCAGGCCCCTGTGACCTATTTTTTAAAAGCACTTGACTTAAAACGGACTGAAACTAGCCATGCATCAACCAGTAAATCTGATTCAGAACAGATGCCTACCTTGTACTTCTCATAGACAATTGGGACGCTGAAAACAAGCAGCTCGCCTGTAAGAATCATGGGACACGGCAAATCAGTCATAACGTCTCAAGACTTTAAGTTACAGACATGTACTTCCTTAGGAAACATATAGAAACAGATCTTCCTCAAAATAAGCCTGGCTAGAGCTCCCACATAAGGACAGTTAGAAAAGAAAGCTGATTTACAGTACTATAATAATAACCACACAAAAAAACCTCTCCAAGTACTAGGCTGCTTTTTTTTGTACCAAAGATAACAATTTTCAAATTATGGGGCTCTATAAGTAAGATCCTTGCATTTAAACTACATCTAGGCAACTCTCCTTCCTTTACTGCCTTCTATTTTGAAATTTATGATTGGGACTATTTAATACAACTGTGACCACAAACACAAGTTGCTCTGATACGTAGTTCAGTCTCTGTGAATATTAAAAGCTGGGTACAAGGAATGAGTGGAGGCATACTGGGCATCCTCGTTATAGTCTTACAAATTACTTCAAAGGGCATAGAGACACTTTCCGTGCTACCTTACCAAGAATCAGAAGGGTGATTCCATTAAACACGGCACCAACATAGGTCATTAGCCACATGAACACAGCCAGCTGTGAAGGCCAAGATCAGAGGGTTAAGCAGGAATACTCATAGTGCAAACTTCAGGCTCATACTATTCTCTAGCTCAGGCTGTATACGGTAGTGAGGTGTGACACAGATCATTTCAGAATGAAGGTTCCCCTACCTGCACTGTACATGTGAGGGTGTGTGAGACAATTCTTAGATCCCTGGTGGACTGTGACTGTGCTGCTGGGGACTCTCTTATCACTCTCCAGCAGGAGATGGCAGCTTTCTCTACTGACTCCTCCACCTCCACGTTTACAGGTTGCTGGAGATGAATGTATGTCCATTTTTGTCTGATATATCCTAATGCACTGTTTTTCCTCTAAACTAATCCCTGGCTTTTCTAAGTCTCACCAGGAAAAGCTGCAGAAACAACTAACCTTCAAGGAATCCACCAGATCTTCCACCAGAAAGAGACGGATGATGAGCTTCAGGGCCCTGTTGATGTGCACCATGGCAGCGTTCACGTAATTGTGGAATGCTTCAGAAGACAGGGTGATGTCCAAGTCCAAGTAGGCTCTTCCAGGGAAAGAAACGACAGTCACCTGTCAGTATAGCCACTCTTTAAGATGGAAATGGCCCTCAAGGTACATTTTAGAATCCATTTGGGCATTTTTTACTGTCATGGAGTGGGAACAATACTGTCATTTAGTGAGCAGGGGCAAAAATGCCACCTTGGCGTGGTGGGACATACCTGTAACAGTAGCAGTCGAAAGTCTGAGGCAGGAAGATCACAAGTCTGAGCCCAGCCTGAGCAACTTAACAACTGAGCAAGACCCTGACTCAAAAATATTTAAAGGGCTGGTGATGTAGCTCAGAAGGGTTTGATCCCCAGTATCTTAAAAAGAAAAGCCAGATGTCTGGAAAGTATGGGATAGTCATACACAATAAGGAATTGCCCTACATTATGCCTCACTGGGTAAAACCATATTTTGTTTATGCTAAAATGTCACTAAATTTTTATTTATTTACCATTTTAGAAAATCACATCTGTATTGTTGATGATATAGGTAGGTCCAAAAAACCAACTCCCTTATGTTTTTCTAGTACAGTCCTTTCAAAGCAATTAAATACTGACTGAAACATCACTTTGTTATAAGTGACTTTCCATGTTATCACATCTCTATTATAATTGATCTATATATTTTGAAATTACATTTGTAGATTGATTATATCATCTACACATTTCATTTCAGAATGATAAAGGAGGCTTTGAAAATATCTGTCAAACAAAAAGGATAAAGATAATGAATTTGATATGGGTGAAAGCTGCAGAACACAGTAAGAGTTGGGTTCTGTTCCCAGAGGTACTGCAGAGTTGAGATGTGACCACTGCTCACAACTTGCTCAGTTACTCAGTATTTACTGAGTGCCTACTGTATACCAGACATCCTGCGAGACGAGGTACTGAATGGCTGTTGAAGAAGGCAAGGCTGTTTTCACATTATAGAGCCCACAGTCTTATGGGAAAAATGGGAAAGCAACAGGCATGTTTTTTTTCTTTGTATTTAATAAGAAAATACTTATTATCAAATACAAAAGTTTTACAAACTAGGTACTATAGTTAATATAACTTAACAAAACACACTTTAGGAATCCACAAGTGTCATGCAAAAAGGGGTGAAGATCATTAAGACATCAGAGCTTGTGGTAAAACAGTAAGATTTATCTCACTCATTCATTCAACAACTACTGATTCATTAAAACTAATTCTCAATAAATTTCTAATGCCATATATAATTTAAGTTGTTCCTTCTATTTTCATTCTAAGAAAGTTCAAGCAGGAAAAGTACAGCCAGAGCCTTTTCTGTTACGGTCATGACAGATTACGGCAAGATCTCTTTATGAGAACAGGAGTTTGAAAAACTGTCATTTGCTAACCAAAACACTTTTATGAGCTAAGAATCTCAAGAGGGAAAGTGTGAAGTAAATAAATGCTACAGTTTTAGCACAATCAGAAAAGCTAGAAATCAGATCTTGGAAATGTATGACCTACTGACTTCACTAGGACTTGCCTTTGGGACTATGAAGACTAACTGAGAGGTAAGGAGGAAATCTAATAAAACAGAGTAAAGACACTGAGTTCTGGTATCAAGAGCACAGTCCCAGTCTCAGGATTTCCAACAACTGAGTGCTATAATCTCTGCCCTGTTTGCATCTATAGTCCTCTCTGGAGTTGAAGTATGATCATCTAGTTCTGTCAGAAAGATCTTGATTCCTAACTGGGCTACCTCTTAGGGTGATCACAACATCTCTAGGGATAATTCATGTCACCAGTTAGCTGAGCGAGGCCCCATATGTATTTTTAATTACAAATATTGGGGGTGTTTTGAGACAGGGTTGTGGCTATGTATTCCAAGGTTGGCTCAAACTCAAGGTGATACTCCTGCCTCAGCCTCCTCAGTACTTGGAATACAGGTATACACTACCACACCTAGCTGAGGCCCTGAACTTTTGTAAGGTGTGGGAGTGTTGTCTGAGGTAGGTTCTCACATTGTGTAGTCCAGGCTGGCCTTGAACTCACTATGTAGGCCAGGGGGGGCCTCAAACTCATGACAATCATCCTGCCTCAGCCTCCCAAGTGCTAGGATTATAAGCGTGCACCACACCTGGCCTAGGCCCTGTAACTCTTGATTTTTAGTCTGGTCCCATTTTCAGACCTGATCAGCCTCATCAGACCCCTCTACTAAAATGTGCAATGTTACCTGTAATACTTCAACTCACTTGAATGGATGGCCTTCTTCTGACTTCTGCACAGCTTGGATGACAGACTTATACACTCTGAAGCTGATGGTGACAGTGAGAAGAGCCAGGATGAGGTAAGAAACCACACTGATGACACTGAAAGCTGCCAGGGAAAGCAGCACGATCAGTGTGGTGCCAAAGACAAACCCAGTCTTCTTCACATCTCGCCAGAAAATCAGATCGTGCACTGCAGAAACAAAGAGAACATAAGTTACAGAAGTCAATGGGACTCTGCGTCTTGCACTCCTGGAGAGCATTCCAGTAGTACAGAGGTACAGGTGTGTGCCCCATTTCAAGAAAACCTGATACTCGAGGTTTTTCAGCTACTGAAGGGCACTGGGGTAAAGTGTCAGTGACCTTAAATGCTCTCACAGAAAGGATGATAGACCAAGGATGGCAAAATCTTGCTAACTACTGACTAAATTAGACAAACTGGGTGCAGTGGTATGTGCCTATAGGTGGTTGCTTCAGCCTAGGAGTTTAAGACCAGCCTGGCAACACAGTGAAATCCAGTCTCAAAAAACTAATAAAGCCTGTAAATTAGTTAGGTCCACATACTTTTACAAAGCCAAAGTTAATCAGCAATGTATAAATTGGGGTAAGGGCAAAGAGTGATGATAAAAACAGACCAATCTCTGTTAGTTCTTGGTACAAGGAAAAATAGTCACTGGGTTAACACAAAGAGAACTCAGGAAGGACTGTGAATAGGGGACCATACAACCATTCAAACTAATTTTTTTTTTTTTTTTTTTAACTTGAAGAAACCAGATCTTACTACGTCACCCAGGGTAGCTCTGTATTCTTGGGCTTAAGCAATCCCCCTGCCTCAGCCTCTTTTTTTTTTTTTGGTTTTTCTCTGGTACCGGGAACCGAACTCATGACCTTGCACTTGCCAGGCAGGTGCTTTGCCACTGAGCTAAATCCCCAGCCCCGGCCTCAGCCTCTTGAGTAGTTGCGACTGCAGGGGCACACCACCACACCTGGTCAACCCATGATACTTTTAAAAGTGATGGGGGCACAGCTAATAATTATGGCTAAAAATGAGTGTAAGTGAAGGCCAACCTAGGCAACCAGATCTTACAGTTGGGGATTGTCTAAAACACCTCAAAAACTGGACAGGAGCAGCCGGAAACTACCTCCAACCTAGACACTACTGTTTACATTTCAACCTGTGAAGGCTAACCCTCATCCCAGAGAATCTGCTTACAAAAAAATAAGGCTTCCTACTCTCAACCACCTCTATTTTATTCTTTATTTACATTTTGGGTTTCTCATATAAAAGAAACTATGTAATATTTAACTGTTTGTATCTGACTTCTTTAGAAGTGGATCAGGGGGCCGAGAATACAGATCAGCAGCACAAGCGCCTGCCCAGCAAGGACAAGGTCCTGAGTTGAGTTTGAGTCCCAGCATCAAAAAAAGAAGGGGATCAGGGTAAAGGGATAAAAAAAACAATCAAAATGCAATATATACATGGACCAATTCCCCTCCAAAATATTAGTTACTGTATTACATACATTTAAAAGAAATAAGAACAAGGCTGCTGGAGTTGGGAAGACAAGAGTCCGAGTTTTGGTAATTTCTAATCATACTGCTTTAACTTTTTAAGCCCTACCTTCTCAGTTGTAAAATAAAGATGGCAACGATTTCCTTCAATTGTTTTCAAGGATGATTCTGAGAGAACACAGGTAACTGATGTGCAGTGAACACTTGGGTTTTAACTACACTCCAACTGCACCCTGAAAGACCGTGATTTGGGACAGAGTGAACCTGAACCTGACTCCAGGTGATCCAGAAACACCTTGTTCTTCCCCATGTTCAGCTCTAACACTCCTCTCTGAGACCACTTCTGGGAAGCCTAATTTTGCCAAAACTTGAAGGTATTTAACTCAAAACCAAGAAAACACTAAAAGTTTGCTGACTGTATGACAGAAATAATCACTAGTTCAGAGAGTCTGGCTAGAGAATATGACTTAGTAGGAGAAAGAGGAAACATGTTTCCTAGCAGGAAGCACAATCCCAGGTGGCGGTGCTGCAGAGGAGGGAGAAAAGCGGGAGGTGACTCAGGCGTACGGACTGAGGCAAGACCAAAGGGGAGCCGAGTGGAATGCGCTGCCTCAGAGGGAGCACTGAGCGGGAGCACTCTCCCAGTCAGAGTTCATGAGGCCAAAACAGTTTTAACATGGGATGCTGAGGGAAGCGATGGTGAACCTTTTAGAGACGAGTGCCCAAACTGCAACCCAAACCCCATGTATTTATCACAAAGTGCCAGCACTGAATTAAATATGAATACTAAGTTTTTGTTTACAAAACCCAACTCATACCTTCTCATCTTTTGTCTTAAAAGAAAAACAAGTAACACGTGTGCCACAGCTTTGCCACCACTGGCTTAGAGGCTCAAATGTCACAGTAGAGGAACACACTGATGACTTGTAGTTCTGAATATAACACACTATGAAGGACACATCATTTCCATGGTACCCTGCCCTGAGGTACAACTTGAATCTATGGAGAAAACATCAGACAAACCCAACAGGAGAAATAATCTACAAAATAACTGACTTATATTCTTCAAACTTATAATGGAGTAAAAAAGACAAAGACTGAACTGAAGACTGAAAGACTCAAGAACCTTTTCAGATTAAAGGGAAGTAAATGATAGCATAATGCGACTGGACCCTAGAAAAGGGGATTAAAAAAAAGCCAAAGACATCATTGAGACAACTGACAAACCTGCATGGCAATGAACTGCTAAGAGTACTACACTGATTTTTCTTCTTCAGTAGCGCAGACTGAACCCACGGGCATCCTGTCACTGAACCTCAAGGGGCCATTCTGCCTGTCTCAGCCTTCTGAGCAGCTAGTATTACACATGTAGTCCACTGCGCCCTGCCTGTATTAATGTTAAATTTCCTAGGTTCAGTAAGTGTACTATGGTTACCTAAAACAACAAAGTTCTTGTTCCAAGGAAACACATTCGAAAGTATTTCAGGGAGCTCAGAAAAAAGACATGCATCTATAGATGACAGGAGTGACTAACAAAGCACATGTGGCCAAAGGAGCTAGTGCAAGCCAGGCACACATGCGAGTCTTCTGTACTACACTTGCAATTCTTTTGTAAATGTGAAAGATTTGAAAAAAAGACAACGCAGGAAAATGCTTAGAGGATAGGCTTAGAAGATGAATCTTTTGACTTATCAGAGAAGGAAAAGAGGATAGACATTTTCCAGGCCAATTAGAAATTTTTTTACCTGTATAAGCTGGTAAGACCGCGGGGTCCTCACGAACTTTGCTGCCATCTGCTGGCAAACTATTGTCAGAGCTCGTCAAACCTACCGTGCCAACACAGAAGCCCGTGTTCCCTCAAGGCACGTGGAATATAAAGTAGTGCAGAAAGCCCTGGGCTCAGCCTTAAACAGTGGAATTACGGTCCAGGCTGGAAGGAGGCACCCTGACTGAAAGGGGTGTAACACAAGCAGAGCTTGGATCTTGTTCGGGTCTGACTCACAGTTCCTCCTCAGACTCCCCATCCTAACATCCCATTCTCTATCATCCTATTCCTGTATGCAGTTTTTTCTTCAGAGCATGTACAACTTTATTTGCAGAAGGCTCCTGATACGTTACTATGTGTCAGTATGGGGCCAGCTAATGGCCCACAGCATAACTGCAACTTCCATGTGTTTCCTAGGAATGCCTCTCGTACAGAAGACTAAGGGTCTTGAGTACAGAACACCGTCTAAAGTAGCACTTATAGGGAAACAAGCAGGATGAAAAGTGCCTCTATTAGTGAAAAGAAAAATCACAAAGCCGTGAGCTAAGTTTTTCTTTCTTTCTTTTTTTTTAAAGCTCAGTTTCAATCTTAGGAAACTAGAAAAAAAGAGAAACAGGAGAATGGGAGAGAAACAAAAAAAAAACCACCACCAAAAAAAAAAAAAAAAAAAGAAAAAAAAACCACTAAAAAAAGCTATAAAAATTAGTAGTGAGTTAGCAGGATTACATGTTGTAAAGACAATATAATAAAGTAAGTTACATTTCCATATATTAGTATTAACCAATTACAAAATGAATTAAAAATACTATTTAAAATAATACAAAAATAAGCCAGGCATGATGGTGCATACCAGCCCTCGGGAGGCCAAGACAGGAAGATTACCATGAGTTTGACCAGCTAAATTACAGAGTGAGACCCTGTCCCCCACCTAAAAAAAACCCACAAAAGGGGCCGGGGATATAGCTCAGTGGCATAAGCACTTGCCTGACAATCCTGAGGTCATGAGTTTGATTCCTGGTACAAAAAAAAAAAAAAAAAAAAAAACCAGAAAAAATTGAAATAGTTTTCGCTACTTAAGATATTTAAACCTGGGACAAATATGATCACTAATGATTCAAACTGTTGAAAGATACACTATTTTCATGGGTTAAAAGACTCAATATTGCTAGAATGTTAATCACCCCCCAGACTGTATTTCCAACAATCCCAATGTGTGTGTGTGTGTGTGTGTGTGTGTGTGTATATATATATACATATATATATATATACATATATATACACATATATAATAAAAGGGCAAGTTGGTTCTAAAATTCCTATGGAAATGCAAAGGACCTAGAAGCACCAAAACAACTGTTAGAAAGAACAAGCTGCCACTGTCAAGGTGGTGGTCTAATGGACAACAGAGCAATGAGATGGCATGGTGGCCCACACCTACAATCCTAGCACAATGGGAGGCTGAGGCAGGAGGATTACAAGTTTGAGCTCAGCCTGAGTAACTCAGCGAGACTTTGTCACAACATCCATCATAACAGCATAGCTAAGGATGAAAATACAGCTTACTGTGAAGGCCCTAGTTCAGTCGCAGTACTGCCCCACCACCAAGGTCTAGCACCAGAAAACTATGTATTACGAGATGTTCACTTTAGGTATCACTCCAGTTCTCTCTTCCACTTGGCTGCAGATCCCTACCCAGTGACCCATTTTATCCCCTGTTTTGGTAGGTACAGCAGAACACAGACTGGCTCTGAACTGGCGGGATTTCCATGATCTATTTCCCTCTTTCTCCGTTTGGGGTGAGACACTTAACCTCTGCATGCCTTGGATTCCTCATCTGTAAAACAAGATGTACAATATGTACTTTATAGAGATCACGCCAGAATTCATCTTTACAAATGCTCAGGCACTGCTGATTA